TGTCAGATGAAGATGTCAAAGATGTAGGTTCAAATCCCCAAATGGCCATGAAGCCCACCGAGTCCTTTGGGGCTTATACTACTTGCAGGTGCTTTGAAGAAGGTCAGAAGGGGGAAAAAATGCAGTAGAAATAAAGAATTGTCACTTTCCATTTATACAGTGGGTATTTCCTGAAGTGGGTATTTTACCTCAAAGCAGCTTGGATGAGAATTTCAAAATCACGCTTCGCGGGGAAGCATTTTCTTCAATGTCTGAACTACCCCTTAAGTGTCATGCAGTTTGAAACTTATAAAAACACAACTTGTTGTTATTGTCCCTGAAATGCAGACCTAACGTTTCCTGAGGATTTTTTATTATTATTATTCAAGGGAGTTGCATTCTAAGTCTGCATCAGAGTCATGACAAAAAATGCAGTTTTGGCAAAGTTTTTGATGTGAGACAAAGAGACTTTATCTACTGTTGCAAAGTTTAAAATAACAACTGAATGGGAACAGCAGGGTGGCAGTATGTCAAAACAACTCAAAAATGGGTCTGTCAGCAACTGAGAAGCATTGTGTTTAAAAGGCAGGTTTTTAATTGTCTTTATTTTTTTAAAGAAAAAAACAGACAAGCAACTTCACAGCTGAATCAAAAACATATTAAATCTTTTCCCTGTAGCTCACAAAACTATTATGCTGTATTCAGCACTCAGTGATCAACTTTATTGCTTTTGATCCCCTTTACATCATGGTTACCCTTCTCGGTGGGTAATATTGCAAAATAATGTTCTGTAACCTTTCCCCCTTCAGAAAAGTTTGGCTTAGGGAGAACTAGTGAGGAGTGGGAATGGGTGGACAGCACTTGTGTGTGTGTGTGTGTATTTTACATGACTCATAGAACATAAAAGCAGAGTGGGTCTTTTTGAGTTAAAAAAAAGTGGCAATTTTGCCTGTCATACTTGTATGACTTTTATTGTGTGGGTATAAGAACATGTGAAGAAGAACTCACACCAGTGCTTATACTGAATCACACCATTGCCCCAACAAGGTCAAAATTGTCTTCTTAAAATGGTAGTGGCTCTCCTACCTTTCACATCACTTGCTATTTGATCCTTTTAACTGGAGATGTCGATGACTGAACCTGGGACCTTCTGCTCTACCACTGAGCCACAGCCCTTCTCATTAAACAGCTTTCTCATTTGCTTTCTCTTTGGTTGAGGCGGCAGATGTTTTTACCATCTCGGCATCCCCTGCCCATAGTAGGCCTACAGATGCCTACCATCCTGCTAACATTTTATGGGAAGTGTATTGGGCCGCTCTGGGAGGGATGTAAATACAATAAATAAATAAAATAAATAAAAAGTACCAAGAAAGGAGTTTTCGCTTAAACAATAGGAAACATAGGACATGAACACATGAAGCTGCCTTCTGCTGAATCAAACCACTGCCAGCTCTCCAGGGTCTCAGGTGGACATCTTTCACAACACCTGCTATTAGATCCTTTTAAGTGGAGGATCTGGGGATAGAACCTAGGACCTTCTGCATGCAAAGCAGGTGCTCTGCCACTGAGCCATAGTCCCTTGCCCTCTTCCTTGCCATGGCCTTTTTAGCATTGGCCTCACAGAAATATTTTTTTAGAAAAAGTGAATTATCAGGGCAGGGCACTGGTTCCATGGTAGATCGTCATATTTTCCATGCTGATCAAACCTGCTATTATCAAGTAAACAGAAAAAAGTTCTTGTGTAACAGAAATGGGAAAAGATTGTAAATCATAGGGTGGATTCCATAGTGAAGATGCAATATTATTCAGATGCTTGGTTGAAAATGCTGTCTAGGTGAGTATTTCATACTTTCAAATTGCTGATTGGTTTGAATAGTATTGCAAGTGTATTTGTGTCCACTGTCCATACAGCTGGCAAAACTCATAATGACATAGGTAAACAGTTGGTGCATGCTAAGATTGCTTTGTTAGGGTTGATGGGAACTGTAGTTTTCTCAGCTGTCTCATTCAATTGGAGAAGCTATCAAAATCACTATTACCATCAAACCCATCAGGAAGTTATGCTGGTGAAGATAAGAAAGAGCAATTTACTGGGGGGGCGGGGGGGATAGGCCTCTCTGTTTTAAAGAGTTGCCTCCAAAAGCAGGGATCTTCAACTCTTTGGAATAACATACCTGCAAAGGAGAGCTGAGGCAGAGGGGAACTGGTAAGGAACTGGTGGGGCAAGGGATGTGTGTTTTTTTGTGTACACAAATTAGCATTTTATGAGGTGGTGACAAGTGCTGTGGGAAACTGCTATACCTCAGTGATACAGCATATGCTTCCAATATGGAAAATCCCTGTTTCAATCCCTGGCATCTCTTGTTAAAAAGACCACAGTAAAGTCAGGCCTGTAGTTACAGTGGGGCATCTCAGGGCTGCCCCCCCCCCCAGGGTTGCCAAGTCCATCTTCCACCCCCAGCGGGGGACTTTGGGGGCGTTCCTGGAGGGAGTGGGGCATCCCCAACATGATGATGTCATGTTGGGGACATCTGCGGGCCCCCACCCACCCGCGCGCCGGATCTCCAAAAACGCAGGTTCCCTGCACGTAAAGTAGCCGGCAGCCGGCATTTCCCCGTTAAGAGCAGCTGCGTTTCCCTTTTAAGAACGAAGCTGGCTTTTCCCTGCAAGCTTGCGGAGTTCGTGCTTTGGATGAAACACGGGTTGCACACCCTTAAAGGGAGAGAGAGGGTGTCTGTGGGTGTTGGGGGTGGGGCTTCCCCCGCTGGCCATCTGGCCGGCGGCGGGTAGAACCCCCCCAAAAAACGGGGGACCCCTGGCAAACCAGGGGGTTTGGCAACCCTCCCCTCCCCCCGACATACCGCTCAGGCCTCCTGACTTTTTGCCAAGCGAGGTGGAGAGCGTCACCATGGCAGAGCTCACAGCCTCCCTGCTATCAACAGCAGGAGTGCTAGTCAAAAGGTGAGCAGGCTCTGGCAGAGAGGACAGGCGCACAGCCGCTCCTGCTCACCCTTCGGAGCTCTATTTCAGGACGTGTGGCGGAGGGCTCAACCCTTCGCTATGCCTCTCCCTTGGCGGCTTGCATGAGAGACTGGGGGCTCCCAGACTTAAAAAATGCTGGCTACAGACCTGAGTAAAGTTAGGGAAATATTTAGTTACATTAGGGAAGCTCTTTGCCTGAGACCTGAGAGACCCACTGCTTTTCAGAGTAGACAATACTGATATAATTTGGCAAGAAAATGGCATCCATCCTTCACCCTGTGCCATGCCACTGGGAGGCAGGAAGATGGTTCCCAACCTTCTTGTCCTCCAGCAATGGGGCAGGACAAGGTGACACCCATGCTCTTTACCCCACATAGCAGGATCCAACATGAAGCTACCACCTGTCTTCTTGCCTCCAGTCTTTTTCATCTTTCCTGGGTCTCGGTCAGATTTTGTGTCTGAAACTTGGTCTGCAAACAGACTTCAATTGAAAACACACTCTGTACATGTACAGAAACTCACTTTTAAATGATAAGCAGCAGAGAAAGCTTTCTTGTGAAAACAATGTTTGATCCACAATACAACCGAGCATTATGAGCTGTGTAAATTTATATTCCGAACCTGCTAATTATACATTTCAGCGACATCACTGGCTTTTCCTAATGTTCCTTCATTACTCTAATCTTTGCTTTGGCACTGCCTGTGTGTTATAAAATCTCTTGAATGATAATAAAGAAATGGGCAAACCACTTAGTGAAGCCATCCGTTCCCACCTCATCGCCAGTTAATTAATATTTTGTCTTTCCCAAGAGGACGACAAATCTGACTCTTTTGCAAAATTAAAGGTGGGGGAAGAGGAGCAATAAAGATTTTTAAAAATTCTGTCAGACTGGATCAGTTTCATAGGGAGGTCTAAGCCAGGATCCTCTTCTGCCTATAGAAGCTGCCCACAGCCCACAGCATCCTACTTCCAAAAGAACACTGTTCAATAGATACGTCTCAAACTGGAGTGACTGTTCCATATTTTATTTCTTTTGTATCTACCTTTATTTTTATCAGCCCTTTAAGTTCTCTGCTTTTCTCTGTTGGCTTTATAATGCATATTTATTCTGTATGTGCATTGAATGTTCTTATAGGCACAAAAAACATTTAGGAAACATTTAGTGTGGAGAAATAGAAAATTGCACAAAATGTATAACTGTGGGAGCAATCTGCACAAGGAAGAAGCTAAATTAATTACCTTAAATGCTGTGAGCTTGTAAAAAAGGCAAAGTTTGCCTGCTGAAGGAGATCATCGGCATCACTAGTTCAGTATGTCCATTCCATTTAAAACTGTTGCTTTTAAAGGGTATGTATTTACTCATTTACTTCATGTATAGCCAGGGGTCATTTCATAGAAAAAGAGCTAGGGGAACTCATTAGCATACCTCATTACCATATGCCACACCCCCTGACATCAGGGGCCCGGCGGTGGACCTGCAAGCCCGGCGGGAGTGCGAGGAAGCCCCGCCAAGGCCCTCCCTGGCCCCAGGCAGGCAGTGGTGGGGAGAGGCGTGGAGGAAGCAACTTACCCTCCCTCTTCTCCTGCCTCCTCCTGGCTGAATGAGGGCTGGAAGCAAGGCGGCCGGAAGCAGGGGGCAGGGCTTCATCATGTGCCCCACCCCCCTGCACCTCACCCGGGGGAACTGCGTTCCCCCGCGTTCCCCCCCGAAATGACCTCTGTGTATAGCCCATCCCTGAGACTCAAGGCAGATTACAAAGTATTAAAACACACACACACACACACACACACAATGCAATGGGACTAGGATTACAGAAATTAGGCAACAATGCAACCAGAAAACGAATGCATAACATACCATAAATAATCCCCTAGAAGCACTGGAGATGGAAAGGTGTTCCTAGCAACATTAATGAAAGTGCCTACAGACTTAGCTCATGAGTAGACTAAATAGCACTCATCAGGTTGTATGATGTGAGAAATAAGGCTCATTATATTCATATGTACCAGAGTATTTTCTCCACTTTACCCCTCTTACCTGCTGATACACTAAACTTAAACTGCATGGAACGGATGTTGAGGGTAGCCAGGATAGATTTGGTGTCCACTAAGGTCTGATCACCAGTGTCTCTGGCATAGGCTGAAAGTACAGCACACATAGAGCAGTGCTTGATGTTGACAGCCTTCAAATCTGCACAGGAAAGGGCGCTGCCCTGGGAAGAGAGTAGGGTTGGAGGACATAAGAATTAGAGGATGGTGCTGGGCCAATGCAAACTTAGCAAATCCAATGGCTGCCACAAAGACTTTGGATCAGATAGTGCCTGGAGTCCAGTAACCAGTTGGGACTGTGGTGAGCAAGGATAAGAGACTTGAGCCTTCCCCCTTGTGTTATCCCAACCTGGAATGACCTCAGAGAACCAGCAGGGATCATTTCAGGTTGGGAAAATAACTGGGGGGGGGGTGTCCTTAAGCCTCTTCTTTCCATGGTCTGTGATTCCAAAGCAAATTTGGCTCCTGTGCCCTTGGGAACTGAATTCCTATCACAGAACATCTGACATACATATGTTAATAGGTGGACATGTGATAGGGTTGCCAGGTCTGGGTTGGAAAATACCTGGAGACTTTGGGAATGGATCTGGGAGAAGGTGGGGTTTGGGGTAGAGAGGGGAGGGGAGGGGAGGGACCTCAGCATGGTACAATGTCATACAGTCCACCTTTCAAAGCAGTCATTTTCTCCAGGGGAGCTGATATCGTAAAAGCGAGAGATCTCCAGGCCCCACCTGGAGGCTGGCAACCCTAGCATGTGAACTGGCTTTGATAACACTGCTAAGTTTTATTTATTTATTTATTAGATTTATATCCCGCCCTCCCCACTGGGCAGGCTCAGGGTGGATAACAAGGCCACAGGCATTATAAACAGTAAAACAATAAACAAATTAATAATTTAACAATTTAAAATTAACAAACATTTAAAATACAATTCTCATAAGATGACAGAGCTGTCTTCACATCCACCATAATGGAAAACAGCAGCTGGTGTCAGGTTCTGTACGGCTTGGTCTCTTTTGTGTGGATATAGATGTTAAGCCGGTGGCCATGGGTAGATACTAGGGCACAATATTCGGCTAGGTGGAAGTAATTTAGTGTGGCACTTCATACACTTGGCAGAAGAGCTCCGTCTTGCAGGCCCTGAGGAATTTTGATAAACCCCACAGAGTCCTGATGTCCTCGGGGAGCTTGTTCCACCAGAGTGGAGCCGCCACTGAAAAGGCTCGTGCCTCAGTTGTGGCCAGCCTGGCATCTTTCATGCCGGGGAGCACAAGAAGGTTTTGAGAACCTGACCTCAGTACTCTCTGGGGAACATATGGGGAAAGGCGGTCCCTCAGGTATGTAGGTCCCTGGCCATATAGGGCTTTATAGGTTTGAACCAGCACCTTGATATGAACCTGGTATGCTATAGGTAGCCAGTGCAGTGCTTTCAATGCAGGCTGAATGTGCTCTCTTAAGAGGGAGGCCAAATAACAGCCTGGCTGTCGCATTCTGCACTAGCTGTAGCTTCCAGATTTGGGACATGGGCAGCGCCATGTAGAGAGCATTACAGTAGTCAAGTCTCGAGCCGACCATTGCATGGATCACTGTTGCCAGGTCATTGCGTTCAAGGAAGAGAGCCCACTGCCTAATCAGCTGAAGATGGTAGAAGGCCAACTTGGCAGTGGCTGCTACCTGAGCCTCCATCATTAAGGAGGCATCCAAGAGCACTCCCAAGCTCCTAACCTCTGATGCTTGCACCAGTGGTGCCCCGTCGAAGGTCGGTAGTGGGATCCCTAACCCTGGACTGCTGCAGCTCAGGCACAGGACCTCTGTCGGATTCAATTTCAGTCGGCTCAGCCTAAGCCACCCAGCTATGGCTTGTAACACCAGATCCAGATCTTCCAGTTTTGAGTCAGACTGGCTGCCCGACCACAGACAGAGCTGGGTGTGATCCGCACATTGGTGACAACCTAGTCCATGCCTCCAGGCAATCTGGGCAAGGGGGCGCATATAGATGTTAAATAACATGGGGAGAGAACAGCCCCTTGTGGCACTCCGCAAACCGGTGGGTGTCTTTGGGAAAGCTGCTCCCCTAATGCCACCCTCTGTCCCCGACCTTATAGGAAAGAGGCCAGCCACTATAAGGCAGACCACTGAATCCCAGCATCGGCGAGGCAGTGGATCAGTAACAGGTGGTCAGTCTTCCACTGAGATATACATGAAGAAGTATAGAAGCTTCTTCCAAGGGTTCTTGTATCCCAGAAACACCAATCAAACCCACAACATTGTTTTACTGCTATGATGAGTGAAATACCTAACATCCCTTTGTGACTTAATCTGGGCAAGGGGGCGCATATAGATGTTAAATAACATGGGGAGAGAACAGCCCCTTGTGGCACTCCGCAAACCGGTGGGTGTCTTTGGGAAAGCTGCTCCCCTAATGCCACCCTCTGTCCCCGACCTTATAGGAAAGAGGCCAGCCACTATAAGGCAGACCACTGAATCCCAGCATCGGCGAGGCAGTGGATCAGTAACAGGTGGTCAGTCTTCCACTGAGATATACATGAAGAAGTATAGAAGCTTCTTCCAAGGGTTCTTGTATCCCAGAAACACCAATCAAACCCACAACATTGTTTTACTGCTATGATGAGTGAAATACCTAACATCCCTTTGTGACTTATTTGATGAAACAGAAATACAGAGAAATGTCCATTCATTATCCTCTATCAGGGTTGCAATGCACCAGAACAACAGGCAAACTAAGGGTCAGCTACAGAACCTAGTAGCAGGCTATCAGAGCTTAATTTTGGATTTTGGTGTAGTTCATATTTTGGAAAGACCTATGTTCAAATCCTTACTAAGCCATGAAACCCAGTAGATGACTTGAACCAGTCCCACAAATTTTTGTATACTGAGTAAGACTGAGTACTGAGATGTTAAACTTAGTGGAGGGGCTGTGGCTCAGTGACAGCCTCTGCTTTGCATGTAGAAGGTCCCAGGTTCAACCCCTGGCATAGGCTTGCCAAGTCCCCCCAGGGGGTGGGGAAAACCCCGCCCCAGAGGCCCGTTTCCCGCCGCCGCCTGATCGGGCCCCGGGGGGAACTCCGCCCCGACGTGCACGTCACCAGGAAGTGACGTGATGACGCCGGGCATGCTGGGGGTGGAGCCACAGTCATTCAATGGAAAACTCTATGGTTTTCCCTCGGATGGTCGTGGCCCCGCCCCCAGCGTGCCCGGCGTCATCACGTCACTTCCTGGTGACGTGGATTTGGTGCACGCGCGGGCTCCATGATTGGCCCGGGAGTCTCCCCCCTGCAGAGGAAGGTAACACTTGGCAACCCTACCCTGGCATCCCCAGTTAAAAGGAGGTAGGAGGTATTGTGAAAGACCTCTACCTGAGACCCTGGAGAGCAGCTGCCAGTCTGAATAGACAATACTGACCTCAATGGACCAAAGGATTCAGTATATGGCAGTTTCATGTGTACAAAAATACAGCTTTTTTGTGCCCCCCAAAAGAGTAGTCACAGAGAAGGAGAAGCCCAAGTGAAATAATCCCCATTCTTCTTTTCTGAGGCTGCCAATTAGGAACCAGGGAGGTTGTTTGGGCCAGACCTAGAATACAGTACAGGTTTCCTACAATAAGAAAATACAAAGGGATCTTGGAGAAAATGATAAATAAAAGATCTCTATACCTGCAATAAAAACAGTTTAGGGAAATTCTGGATGAATTCCCATTCTCTCTGAAGGTATTCAAGGGATCCAACAAAGACAATATCCTTCAGTTCATTAAAGGTGAAGTTACTGGCACGCAGAGGCATCACAAAGTTGCGGAGACCTATCAGTGATGAGCTGGCATCTCCAAAAACACAGACGACAATGTGGTTGTGCAACACATGGCTGAGCTTCTTTTTCCGCATCTAAACGAGACAGAAAAGAACTCTCTGTGGCTATGGAAACAGTTTGTTCCCTTTCGGAAGAAGTATCACAGGAGAATTTGTACCGCTGCCATGCTGGGCAACAGACAATCGTAAGTCACATAACTTATGCAGTGACAGACAATCAAGAAGTGCGTATCAAATTTCCCTTTGAGCAGAGCACGCCCAAAATTTCAGCAGGGCTTGTGAATCATATAAACATGGAAATAAAAAAATTTCAGATTCCAGCAGGTCAGAAGCTGAAGCAGTAACTATAGCCCTCATACTCGGTTGGACCTAGTCAGTTTTCCCATTCTTTCACAGTTCCCCTCCACACTGTAGACCCCAGCCCACTGCAGTTTTTGCATATGTGGTGGTGGTGGAAAGTCGTGTCAAGTCACAGCCAACTTATGCTGACTCCCTAGGGTTTTCAAGGAAAGATACATTCAGAGGTGGTTCAGAGGGTCTCCCATCCAAATACTAATCAGGGTCGACCCTGCTTAACAGCCAAGATCTGATGAGATCTGCCTAGAGTAGCCAAGTCCCGCCTGGTAACCGGTGGGGGATGGAGGGGGCTTACTGGGAGCAACACGGAAACCCATCTGGCATGTGTCTATGCCACTGACCACATGACCCAGAAGTGATGTCATTACTTCAGGGTGACACTCCGGTATTTGGCAAAAACTCTATGGTAAATGTGGCTTCTACCATAGAGTTGTTGCCCAAATACCAGAGTGTTGTCCTGATTACCTGGATGTGATGATGTCACGTCTGGGTCACATGGGCAGTGATGTAGCCATGTTGCTGCATGTTGGATGGATCTCCCTATTTTTCAGGGTAAGTTCCCCTCCACCAGCCAGCTGATTGGTGGCAGGGTGGTGGGGCCTGGCAGCAGGGGACTCCTGTCTCCACTGGGAGGTCTGGCAACCCTAGATAAGGGTAGCTTGGGCTATCTAGGCCAGGGGACCATTATTCTCAACATAGCCCTTTTGAGTGGTCAAGTAGGTGTTTCCTTTATTCACCTGCTGAAAAGCTGATTGGATTCAGCTCATTGTTTTCCAGACAAATTGTATATGTTCCTGTTAGCTACATACAGATTAGAGTCCTGTGAGGAAAATCACATTGCTTCATAGCACACAACACTAATTTCTGTACAATTGCTGTGCATGTGATGTGACAAAGCAACTATTAATTAGGTGTGACTGAGGAAACCTTTACATGATTGGTACATGGTATATGTCCACATTCCCAATCAAGAGCTGTCAAACTTGTGCTTTCGTACTCTTGCCACGATGGGGCTTTCTTCTGAAAGAAATAAAAGACTCATGTCGGGGGAACTTTGCTGATGACTGATTAGAATCATAGCCAAATTAAATGATCATCTCTAACTAATTGGATTACTCTAAATTGAATAATGAAACCTCGAGTTCTATTTAGTGGAACGTGCCTTAAATCCAATTATTAGTCTGTCAAGGGATGCTAAACAATTGAAATGATCCATTCCGTAGGCCTTTTAATAGGAACGATTAAAAAAAACTCCCTAGATTGTGGGTCGGGGGCAGTCAGACATTCTAAGTGCGGAGGAAGTGTTTTGATCACCCATTCCCTAACCTGAAAACCATTGCCTCAGAACGCAGCAAATATTATGTTTAAACCACTTCTACCACACTTCAGAATGGACATCAGTCTTCACTCCACAAGGTACTCGCCATAGCCCCATTTTTCTTTGGGCCTCAGTGGCCCCTTTACTCTTTATTTATTAAATTAGATTTACTAGGCCACCCTTCCCTACAAGTAGGGCTCAGGGCGGCTTACAACAAATAGTAGACAATCTCAGTACAACTACATTAATATGATCCAATAAATAACAGTACATAAAAACAAGATATGTACAATATATAAGATGGCAGTAGGGCTGCCAAATCCCCCTGGGGGGCAGATTTCCCCCCGCTTTGGAGGCCCGATTTCTGCCGCAGCGGAATCGGGCCCCGGGGGGAACTCTGCCCCCCGAAGCTGCATCACCAGAGGTGACGCAGGATGTACAGCATATTGGGAGCGTGGCCCAGATCGTCCGGGGGGGGGGGACCAGCTCCCGGACCGAGCAAACACTCCCCCGCCAGTGAGTGAATAAGATTTGGCAACCCTAGATGGCAGAGAAATCCTAACTCCCCAGCCTCCTTGGGGGAGGGGTTATGGGAAATGGGGAGTTATATGAGAGTGCCAGAAGAAGTCCCGTCGCTATCCTCAACCAAAAGCATAGTGGAGCATCTCTGCCTTACATGCCCTGTGGAAAGGTAACAACTCCTGCAGGGCACAGATGTCTTCCAGCAGAGCATTCCACCAGGCAGGCTGTCAAGGACAGCCAGACTTCTCTCGGGCCGGGGACCACCAGCAAGTTCTTATTTCCTGAGCGTAATGCTCTTCTAGGGGCATACTGGGAGAGGCGGTCCCAGAGGAATGTAGGTCCCTGACCACTAAGGGCCTTAAAGGTCAAACCCAAAACCTTGGAACCTGATCCGGTGCTCCACTGGAAGCCAGTGCAGCTCATTCAGCACTGGCTGAATATGAGCTGTTTGCGGGGTCCCTGAAAGGACCTGCACAGCTGCATTTTGGACCAGTTGAAGCTTCCAGGTCAGTCGCAAGGGCAGGCCCATGTAGAGCCTGTGTAGAGCCTGCATAGAGTGAATTACAGTAGTCCAACCTGGAGGTGACCATTGCATGGATTACCCTTGATTGTGCTGAACCAGTTCCAGTGAACTTTTCACCAGGCACTGCCAGTTTTTTGCACCCTGGCACCTGCAGATCTATGCCCATGACAATGCCCCTGACAGACCTAGGGATGCTGGCAATGTCTGGGAGTTTGCTGAATCAACTTAAATACTGCAGGTTGGTATAGGTGATTTAAATGTGAAGGCAGAATTTGCAGCTGCTCAACATGTTCACCTGACAGTCCCTGTAACTGAGGGTTTAAAAAAGTAACTGTGCAGCTTTGATTGCTGGCTAGTCCCTTATTTTATTGCCAAATCAGCATGGTTGGTGGATATTTTCTCCACTAGCATTAATTGTCAGTATTGTCTCACTCAACTCCTTGAGGTTTCAGGAAAATAAAAGGGGCTTGTTTGTGTGTGTTTCTGGGGCCACTTCCTCTGTAACACAGTCTCCCCATCAGAGCAGTACACAGAGACATGTATCCCCTCCCTGGACTGAATTATTCAGTTGCTAATGCAAGTTACACTAAAAATTAAAAACCATGTGTAAAAAAGTGTAAACAAAACAGCAAAATTCAGATTCTTTAAAGAAGGGAACCTCTGGACACTTTCATGTTTCCTTTGAACACGGACTTCCTCTTCACAGGTCTGGGGTTTTTATTCCCATACACGCTAAAATTTCTAGTACAGGTTAAAGTGCAGATGCATTTATGAAGCTACACAGTCTCCAGATGTAGGGTGTAAAAAACCTCCACAACAGGTACAGGAAGAATGGAAGGACCTTGAGATTGGTGAATAAAGTTGCTGGTTTCCCTGATTGTGAAGGAGCTGGGTTCTGGGATCGTGATGTAGTCAGAGTTTGAGGCAAAAGATGCATAATATTAACCAGGAGTCTAAATGGATGGGTACATACATACAACAATGCAAATTCAATTTTAAACAAGCAAAGTAAAGCAAAGAAATAAAAGAATTGCAGCAGCAGCAACTGGAGGAAGCAGGGTGGGAAAATATATATAGGAAGTGGATACTACTGCTCTATTGCATCAACAACTGGAGCATGAAAATAGACAGAAGGGATTCAGGAAAACTGAGGTTGCATTTAGATGTCATGACAAAGGATTGAATCTAACAACCTCTCCTGCTGGTTACAAAGGAATGAGGCATCCACTCAAAATGCTATGCTGAGAATTCAGGAACCTGCAGGTACAAAAGGCATGTGAGATCGGGGAAGTAGTATGGAGGGGGCTTGGGTGATGAGTGAAAACTCTGGCTGGATCTAACCCAAAGAGAGGTGTGTCTACAAGGCTGTGCTGACAACCTCCCTTTTTACATGAAGCATCATTGAACACATTCTGCTCTGGGAAGCCTTGAACTGAACTCCAGTTCATTATGTAGACATTTGGGCAAAATGGTTTGTTTCCCTCTGGGATATTAAATCTCTGTTTAATTCCAGTGCTGGGGGATTGATCCTGGGATCTTCTTCATGCAAACCATGTCTTCTCCTCCTGAGCTATGTGCTGGCAGCATTTCAGCACAAAGGAAAGGTGGTGCCTTTTAAGAGAAGTCTATCAAGTGTAATTTGTGGATGCTGCTTTTTCATCCCCCCCCCCCCGAAAAAGAATCTTTTTCGATTGCTGTCTCTTTGCAGATTTTTTTTGCATATTTGTTTTATAGTTTATTGTAAGCCACCATATGGATCCATTTAGATGGTATATAAATGTTTTCTATCAACCAATCAATCAATCAATCTCTTTTAATCTTTGGTTTTATCAGGAAAAAGAGTGATTTAAAAAAACACATCAATATGTCCCCAAAGTACAATAAACAACAGCTTCATGTTTTAGATTTTAAATCTATTTGAACTTGACTGGATGCCGACATTTCTCCCAGTGGCCCAGAACAGGGCAGCAGAAAGATAATCCATATAGTGATCTAGGAAATAAAGGCTCAGAAATAAGTTTTGGGTCACCCACCTCAAGGTATAGCCTGGAGAATTGCAACTGATCTCCAGACCAATGTTCCCTCTAAGCTGTGGAGTCTTGTGAGCAAAAATTCTACTTTGTGAGCTACCGGCATTAAAGTTGTGAGCAAGCAATTTGGCTACTGCATCAATTAGTTTGCTCTGGAGCCATCCTCCCTGAGCTAAGACAAAAATGTGTGAGCCGGAGGCTAAAAAACGGTGAGTTAGCTCACACTAACTCAGCTTAGAGGGAACACTGCTCCAGACTACAATTCCCTCGGCACCTTTAGAGTGTGGACTTTATGGTATACCAGAGACTGTCTAGGAGAAATGGAAGCCCTAGAGTGACACCACTCCACCACTGAGTTCCTTCCCTTCTCCAAATGCTGCCTTCCTCAGGCACTGCCCCCTCATCTTTATAGATGGAGTTGGCAGCCTAACATCAGGCTGGAGTTGGCAGCCTAACATCAGCATGCTGAAACCCTATAGGTTTCCAATGTTTTGGGGAGAGATCCTAAAACTATAACTTTCCCCAGCATCTACTGCATTTCCATGTCACACAGGAGCTAAATCACAGACCCCAATTCCTTTATACGTGTTGTACCTACCATGAGGGCCTTTTCTAAAGGCACAGCTTCACACCAATGGAACATTCCTGTGGAGTCCAGCAAGTCTTCGCTTGTTTTTTCTTCTAAGATTGTTGAACTTCTAGGTAGACAAAATGATGGATTAGTAGGAAACAGTTTGGCCTGGTTGATGTGACATTAGCATCATAAACCATGTCTTCCCCTAGTAAAATTAAATGTAGGTATTAATTTGAGCCAGCTAGAACATGACACAAAGTTGAAGTTGTGCTGATCACAGTAGAAGTGAGGAAGCATAATGAGTAATTAATTGTGAATCCACTACCAGTGGATGTAGTGATGATGACCACAAGCACAGGTGACTTTAAGAGGGAATTACACAGATTCACTATGGACAAAGAGAATCTCAATCTGAGGCAGTAAACTCCTCAATCTGAGGCAGTAAACATCTGAATACTAGTGCTAGAAGGCAACATTACAGAGGCCTATGTGAAACAGGATACTAGCCTTTCCCCCCTGAGTTTGTAGCAAGGCACAATTACATTGTAACTGTCAAAGTACTGTTTGACCTTCCCTGCAAACTAGGATTTCAAACTGTAGTTTGTTCCTAGTTTGGAATTTTCATTTGTTGGACAAATACAAACCATGGCTTGACAGTAGCATGAACACAGTAATCTGCTTTATGTTGAGTCCAATCATTTGCTTGTCAAGGTCAATATTGTCTACTGGCTCCCTAGGGTTTTGGGTAGAGGTCTTTTATATCACCTAGTACATGATCCTCCTAACTGGAGTTACCAGGAATGGAACCTGGGACTTTATGAATGCAAAGGAACCCCCGCTTTCACTGATTTGTAGCCCCCACCCAAATGTATAATGCCAAAGTCTGTATTGCTGCAAACCCCAAAATACTGAGCCTCCCATGAGTAAGGAAGAGGGGGTCCTGTATGAGCCTGCAAATCCCTCAGCCTTCTTCATGTTAAATTAATAAAGGTGTTCATGCTATGATGGTACAATGACCAAACAAGCATGCTGCTTCCCTATTGATCATCTCACCCTTAAAACACCAAAAAGATCTTAATTTCAGAATTCTCTGTTGTTACTATTATTTCCCATCCTCATCCAATACCCAACCTCATCTAGGAGTAAAACTTATTCAGGTTATCATTCAGTCCCTACATCATTCCTAGACCCACCTCCAGATGAAGAACCTCCCCTCTGAATTCCAACTGTCATCTCTAATTTGTTTTTCCATATTGCTCATTTTGATTTGGGTGGAAGGGATATTTTCATTTATTTGCTTTTTTAATTCAAACCACTTTGAGAACACTTGCAAAATGTGTGTGTGTATGTGTGTGTAAAGTGTTGTCAAGTCACAGATGATTTATGGGAGCCCCAGCAAAGGGCTTTCAAGGCAAGTTAGCAGCAGAGGCAGTTTGCCATTGCTTTTCTCTGCAGAGTCTTCCTTGGTGGTCTTCCCATCCAAATACCAAACCCTATTTAGCTTCTGCAATCTGATGAGACTGGACTATACCATGCTGCCTCCCCCCCAAAAAAACCCAGCATATAAATGATCATAAATAAATCAGCTAACATACATGCAAAGAGATTGAGCAGACTTCCCATTCCTAGGAGGACACATGCAAATATATAGCTTGCTTTGCTTCTATAGATCGGGTTGGATCCAACCAGGTTTTCCAATGGTTAAAAAGGGGAAATGGGATTCCTCTTTCACTAACCAAAAGACTATGCTGAGGATCATGAAACCTGCATTGACAGAAGCCATGGTGGGGTAGGGGCTGTAATAAGGCGAGGAAAGTGGGCAAGACTGAATGAAAAAGCTGGCCCATTCCAGCTCATGGTGTCTGTGTGCTCTTATGCATACTTCCATCAAGTGATCAATACAAATTGTGCAATGCTAAAAGGTGCTATTATTCTTAGTGGTGTTGCACTCTTTCTCTTAGGGATGGGCACAAACCACAAAAATGCAGTCTGGTTTGTGGTTTGTGGGCAAATCAGAAATCGAATCATGAACCCGGTTGGCTCACATCCGAACTGAACCAGGTTTATGCCCAAAACAGCTGAGCCGGGGGGGGGGGCAGCCTGGTCCTGTGGCTCAGTTTTTTTCCGGATTTAAATAGCTGAGACTATGGGAGCAGACTGCCCCCATGGCTCAGCTGTTTAGACTGGAAACCGTGAAGATGAAGAAGAGGAGGAGGAGGAGTTGGATTTATACCCCACCCTTTACTCAGAGTCTCAGAGCATCTTACAATCTCCTTCCCTTCCTCGCCCCACAACAGACAGCCTGTGAGGTAGGTGGGGCTGAGAGAGCTCTGAAAGAACTGCTCTTGAGATAACAGCTCCCAGAGAACTTTGGCTGACCCAAGATCACACAGCTGGCTTCATCTGGAGGAGTGGGGAATCAAACCTGATTGTCCAGATTAGAGTTTGCCACTCTTATCCACTACACCAAACTGGCCAGCGCTGCCCAAGAAAGCTCCTTTAAACAACTGAGTCATAGGAGCAGGCTCAGCCATTTCTGATCTTTTGGCAGTTTTCACAGGGATGTTTTGATGACTTTTGTGGGGAGGATAAACCAGGGCTTTAAACCCCTGTTTTTTGATCCTCATGGACCTCCATGAACTGCCTTAAAAGTTCATGGAGGTTTGTAGCTGAGCTGTTGTTTGCAAACTTCAGTTCCCAAACCAGTCAAAATTCATCATGAACAAAGGTTTGTGAGCCAGTTCATGCCAATCCCTACTTTCTCTAGTGTTGTCCAGTTTGTGTTCATTGCTTGCCGCATTATTATACTGTTCCATAGTGTGCAGTATACTTTTAGTGCACTATTCCCTAATTTTGTAATCCCATTTTATTATATTCTTGGTTGTATTTATTATACTGCTCTGGTTGCATTATTTTACATTGCATAAATCGACTTTGAGTCACAGTGAGACAGGCGGACAATAAATGAAATGAGTATAGGAATAACTCAGGGCACCATAACATTTTTCTCCCCTTCTCCATTTTATCCTCACAACAGCAGCTCTTTGAGGTAAGCTAGTTTGAGATGGAGTAACTAGCTCAAGGTCACCTAGCAAGCTTCACAGCAGAGTGGGGATCTGAGTTCAGATCCTAGTCCAGCCACTAACAGAACACTGGATTTGTCATTTAAGAAAGCCACACATTACGGGCTCTTTCCAAATCCCATTTTGGCCTTGAATGAAGATGATCTGGATTTGATTTTTGCCTATGCAGTTTATGTGGTATTTATATATATACAGGATGTGTCATTGAAGCATGTAATACTGACATAACATATAATGCCAATTTATTGATGCACAAATAACATTGAAAAACACACACACTCATTTTATATGACAAATTCAGCACAAGGGAACAGAAACTGGTGCCAAAATAAAGAACCAAAGCATTGATTTGCAAAAAGGAGAAGTGATATTGAAGCAGAGGTTCTTTGGGTCCAAACAGCTGGGAGGAGAAATTCTAAATCATCCCCACTTAGTAAAGCCAGACATGACTGAGAGGCCCTTGCCAGACACCTTTCTAGCTGTCTCTGAAAAGCTGGTATTTGAATGCATCTTTGGGTTTGATTTTATGCAGCAGAAAGCAACTGCGGCGCAGGACCACATTTCCTCTTTCTTTTTGCCATTTTGAATGGGTTTCTTGAAAGGAAATCACTGATAGTAGAGGATAATGTGGGAGAATAAATTAGCCGGTGTCTCTCAGTACGCCTATGCCAAGAATAGACATTTCTGTCCATTAGTCATATGGCACCTCCCCAGCAGTTGAAACCTCCTCCCTCCTGCCTGGATGATGGATTGGTCAGCTGGTGATTAAATTGTGTTTTGGCAAGAGGGAAGCTATCTTCTTGCAAGCTCTTTTAACTCAGCCCAGCTCAGCAAATCAATCAGTGCACACTTTCCCATCATCATAAAACCATGATCTATGTACACAAGCTGTCACAGATGATATCTCCCTTCACTCAAATGTTATAGGAAGCATTGATGCCCCGGAGGAAACACCTGTCAGAGCTCTGGGTAGGGAAATGAAAAGGCAAGGCTGCTTGAAACACACTTCATCACCAAAGCATCCTTTTCTGGATACCATTGTGAAAGCCAAAAAAAAAGATGCTCATCTATCTTTCCATGCCTTAACTAATGTTCCCTTTCTGCCACATTGTCTGCAAATGATAGGAGCCTTTCAGGAATCTACTTTTCTTGGGAGATCAGTGAATCATTCTTGAGAATGCACTAAAGAGCTTCAGGAACATGAGGCAAGAGGAATGAGTATGATAGAAATAGAAATATAGGGTCTGGGATAGGTCTGTGGCCAGGTGTTCATTTGCCCTGTTCATTTGTTATGATTTTGGTGATCTAGCCGTGCATAAAAGGAGATCATGCTATGTACAGTTGCCATTTAGGTGAACAGAATGGTGCATGCATTGTCCAGCTTTTGAGCATCTAATCAGAAAGACCGATTTTTGAAGTTGCACATTTAAAAGTCTCAAAGTGGGAAAATAACCAGGTTGCCCTATTCAAACAAAATAGCAACTGTGCATATTGGGAGACCATGAGTAATGTCTGGAGCATCGAAATTATAATGACTAAAGATGGCTAATTTCAGTTGTGTTTTTCTTTTAACCCCACTGAAGCAAATGAAGAGCTGGCAAATGCATATTTACACCAGTCTAAACCAATGGATTTTAATGGGCTTAGTTTGGAGAAGCTCTGCACAGGAAATGTAGAACTCTTTTATTAAATTTTATTTATTTATTTATTAAATTTCTAAACTGCCCTTCCCTGGGGAACAGGGCTCAGGGTGTTGTACAGCAATAAAGTATATTCACATATCAATTCAGAATTAAAACAAAACACAGTAACTGATTTTGTGAAATCATGGCAAAATGAAACCAGACCCTTTTATTAGGATCTACTAAATCACCGCAAAGTATACACAAGCTTTTGAGTTCCCCACACAGTAGAGAGCAGGATACAAGACTAAATGGTCTGATTCAGCAGTTCTTTTATTTGTATTTTATTTACACATTTGGATGGTGAGCTGGTTTATTTATTTATCATTCAATTTATATCCCGCTCGAACCCCGAACGG